ATCTGCTTTGTCCACGGGATGGCACTGTTTTCCGTTCCTTAGCTATAGCGCCGAGGCCGTGAAAAAGGCCTATGACGGCCTCGGTGCTAACGCTATGGGACAGAAAACTGTGCCATCGTATGCCATCCTGTGCTGAAAGTAGGAAGGTCAGAAAGTCCGCCATGCCGAAAAGATCTTTTTGAAAGGAAGTTGGGGGGAATGATTAAGAAGTATGGACCGGAAGTCAGCCATGATGGAAAGGTCGTTTTTCCAAAGTTTCTGGGGACGGCCGATATCGACGGACAGGATATCAGCCATGGCGAGAAGGTCATCTCCAACGTACTGGGGGACAATAGCGGTGAACGGACGGGAAGTCCGCCATATCGAGAAGGTCTCTCGGAGATAACTCGTGAGGAAAGAGCCGGTCGAGAAGGCCAACGGAAGCGGTTCCTCCCTTTCGGAGGAGCATAGAGTGGCGACGCTTTGGCTGACGCTCTGCGCTTTGGGGCTTCGCTTCTCGGTCTCCGCGATCCTGGGCAAAAGGCCTATGAGGGCCTCAGTGCTAATGCAATGGGACGGAAAACTGTGCCCTCCTGTGGTCAAAGCGGGTATTGCGGCCGCCAAAAAGAAAGAAACCTTTTAAATGGGATTTTAAGCTTATTATTCTCTATCTTTATTATTAACGCATCATTATTATTAATTATTATATTATTATTATATTATTAATTATTATATTATTAACAATAATTGTTATTGTTATTAACTGCTTATTAATATTAATATTAATTGCTGCAACGCAGGCACAGAAGAAATCCTGGTTCAGAAGCTTTAAACTGAATTAAGACCTATGATGGCCTACTAATATTAATAACTTTAATAATAATAATAATCTTAAAACTTCGGCCTTTGCCAAGCTTTTCATTTGCAATTTATTCCCATGTTTAACACTGATATCGATTGCAATCGTACCTTAAAAGCTTAGATTTTCCAATCCTTTTTATGCAGATTTAAGCTGCCTTGATGATGGAATAAACAGAAATTAAGGTTACTTTGATGGGTGCTAATTTTAAAGATAAACCTCACCAAACGTACGTAAATGTATTGCTATGGTTAATATTAAAGTGAGTTAGTGCAGTTAGATTTTACCTTAGCTGCTAGTTCTGAAATTGATACATTTATTAAAATGTTTTATGTCTACCCACGTCACTTATTTCTTCCATCTTAAAGACACGCTTATGATGTACAAAGTCCTGCTCTGTCCCTCCTGGCACCTGCATGGAGACCTCCAAAATAAGCCCAGCGTTACTGGAATTTATATCCAACTTCGTGACAGTAAACAACTGATACTGTCTTTTTTACCCTAAGAGAATTTAGAAGAGAATAACAACTTTATTGTCACTTTGAATGTACACTAATCAACATACATTAAAATGAAATTTCATTGCATACAAGCTCCAAAAGGGTCAGCACCCACTCCCTCTATGAAAAAGGCAGATTCCACAGTTATAGCTCAACAACAAAACAGATCGTTACAGCATTGGCAGAGCAGAAGCGATGAAGAGCATTGCTGAGAAGATCGGAGCGGGGCGGAGGCACCACCCCTGAGAATATCTGGCAGGTAAGCTGCAGGTAACCCTGCAGTGGGCAGGCTGTTTCCAGCAATCTGGAGAGAAAGGGAAAGGATCTCCTGCCCTTCCTAACCCTGACTCACTTTGGACAAAGATGGCAGGGAAAAACCAAGTTGTTGGGTTACCTGCCCTGTCTTGGTATTGCCTGTCTAAAACTAGTTGCCATTCCAGGTCACAAACAAATGCTTCAGCTAACGTGGTCTTAGAGCTTGTGGGAAGAATCCAGAGAAAGAAATATTAGAAAGGCAGAATCTATCTCCCCAAAGGGAAAAAGACAGAAACCAGCCCCAGCCTCTCTCCCCCAAGCAAAAACTAAGCAGAGGCCAGCTTCTAGAAATGCAGATATAATAATCCATTCAGAAAGGTTGGAGCCAGGAAGCTAGAAGCTAATGAAATTAGGAAGACAAAGACCCCTAAAATCTACCTACCCCCACCCAAATTCTAAGGACAGGAAACATAATAGGATTAACCCACCCATACCAAAAGGACACACTCAGACTCGGGTCAAAGTACATGACACAGGAAATACAAAGCCTCAAACAGGAAGAACTCCAAATACAAAGCCCAAAGGAGGTATAAAAGCCCACCACTCCCTGCTACATGTGGTCAGCTTTCCCAGAGCCATCTTTCTGTCTGGCTCTCCTCTCCAATAAACTACATATTTTTTTTCTAAAGCAGTCTCCATTTTGTTTATTCCCAGCTTGGACTGGACCCTGATGAAGATTTTTCTTTCAGCAAGCTCTTCCGATGTTCTGGTATTCTAGATGCATCAAAAGTAGGGAAGATTCCATAGATTGTTCCTTATGATGTCAAGTCCTTCCACTTCCATGGATGCACACAACCTTCCACAGAGGTTAGTTGTACCTACCTGCTACCTTACCCTTTTCTTCACGTTTGATAGACTCCTACCTGAGAACAATAATTTAAGAAATAAGGAAAGTAACTTTACGATACAGGTTGGTGCTTTTCACAGGATTCCTGGTGGCATTGCGTGGGGGTCCCTTGGGATATTTGAACCTGCCTTCCAGAATCACCCTTGGGAAGTGATTGATTTACTTCACAATCAAATCTACTCTCTGAAAGTTAAAGCATGGAGGTTTCCACATAAAGATAAACTTCATGGCCTGCTAACACCCATTCCTTTAGCCTGACTTTAGTTGTTCTGTACTTGAATATCTTAACTCAGTTCCCAATTACCAGGTTAAGCCTTTGCCTGGTTATGGTTTGTGTGCCAGGTGTGACTTTTTTGGAGTGAGATGTCTTGTTAATTACATGTGCCTTTGCCATCTCATGGCTGGATTACTGCAATGGGCTCTGTTGGGGGCTGCCATTGTAGAACACTCAGAAATGTTGCAAAATGCAGCTGGCTGTGTGCTGGCAATACTACACCCGCTGCATTGACTGCCACTGTTTCCTGATACACTTAAGAGTGTCGCTGATAAGACCCTTTGCGGCCTGGGCTTGGGTTATCTGTGGGGACAAGCCAAGAAGAGTATGTTCCGAACTGTATGTATAAAGGTGGAGGAAGCACACAGGTCCAAGAGAGCAATCTGCTGAGTGGACGGGCTGGAGGAAAAGATTGCACTCTTTGGCGAACAGGCCAGGCGTCAGCAATGACAGCTGGACAAAGAAACTGGAATCCCAGAAGCTGCGAAATGAGCTATTTTTTCTCCTTCTCGCTGCATTAGGTGGGTAGCAAGGGAAATAGCTAAGACACTGTACAAAGCTCCATTTAAAATTGTGTTTAGAACTGTAGGTGTCTTATTTAAGCTAATACCATTGTGAATAGAGAAAAACAGGGTAGGTGCATGAAACGTCCTGTTCTTTTTTTCCCACCCTTCAACAATCCCCTTGACTTGTATGACCAGCAGTAGCTGCCCTAAATCTCAGACAGGCAGGCAGGCAGGCAGTTGTCTTTCCTCTTGCCTGCCCCGTGGCCCTTTCCAGGCCCTTTCTGCTGCATCTCCCCTTCACTGGGATGGGGGAAGGGGGGCTAGTGGGGCTTTCTGTGTGCAAGTCTCTGCCTAACATTAAGCCCAAGACCCCCTCATACCTAAAGCAGAGAAGCTGGGGCTAGTGGAGATGTTTCTAATGAAGGTCTTATCTCACCATGACTTCCTCTGTATCCAAGTACTGAGTTGCCTGACATTTCGTAACCAATAATCTGTTCTTTGAGTCTCTTTGTTCCTGTAAATTAGATATAGCCTATATTTATTTTAGTCATTTATTAATCAAATATGTACACCACCCATCTTACTATCTAAATTATTTCAGCAGTTCACAAATAAAAACCATAAAATCAATATAAAAACAGACAAGGTTAAAAAAAAATAAGTTAAAAAGACAGGGGGAGCGCCCTTAAGCCACCAACCACATGCTGGTTTGCATGCACTGTTGGATCCCCACAGTAGTTGACACTCAGGTCTTAACACTCTTCAGAGAAAGCCAGAAGATTTCTGCCAATCTCACCTCAGGGGTGAAATGTCCCGTAGGGGGCAGAGGCGGCAGCAGAGAAGGCTCTTCCCCTTGACCCCACCGGTTTTAAACCTTTTAGCCGATGGGGTCGGCTGCATGCCCTCGGTGCCTGATGGGATGGGACAGGTTGATGTAATTGGGATGAGACAGTTCCTCAGGTAGCTATGAAGTGGTTTAAAGTGATAACCAACCTCTTGAATTGGACCCGAAGCAAACCAGCATCCAACGTGGCTACCCAGCAGTGGTGTTACATGTACAGCCCCGGGGGTCCCCAAACTGCCCCAATTGCCACATTCTGCAACAGGTGGAATTTCCAAATACCGTCAAGGGTAGCCCCATGTAGAGCACATTGCAGTCATGTCCATTCAGGAGATGACCAGGACACGAGTGATTAATTGAGCAGCGAGAAGCATCTTTTGCCTTGGGTGTGTTGCTAATGTGACTGTGTTGTTTTGTGCGATTGACCAGACTTGGTAGAGTCGTACAAACAAATAGATGAGAGGGAAGAGATTGCTGGGATTTTCTCTCCAACACCAGGCCTCAAAATTCACAAGTTAAGGGGGGGGGGAGGGGGAAAGAGAGAGAGAGAGGGAGGGGGGGAAAGAGAACTTTGCTTGGAGTTCGTTAGCATTACAAGCACAAAGCTAGGACACAAGCGTTACGGGCCATGGGACTGATTTCCCCAGAGCAGCAGTTGATTGCTAAAAACGTAGGCAGTGCCACTCAATTCATGGCCAATTGTCTCTTCCACTATTTATTTTGTCATCTCTCCTTAATCCTCCCAGTGAAGTCTAATTTCTCCTCAACATCTCGTAGCATCTCTAATTACACTCTCCCACCTGTTGTTTCTATACAGGCTACACAACTACTGTGTTTCGCCCCGTTCCCTTTCATTTGATCAGTATTTTAACAGACAGCATGGCACAACCAAAAACTAAGCTAAGAGTTAAAAAAAGTATAGCCAAGCAACAAAGCACCTCTGGGCAATTTATCACCGAGAGAGAGCAACACCTGAAGAAGGAATATGCCGTCCTGACAGAGTATATCAAGGCCTATTCAGATCGAGTGGATCGCTTTCAAGATGAAAATGAATTCCTGGACAAGGAAGCCCAGGAGATCCGAGAAAACAACAAAGGTTACCTCGCCTACTTAGCCAGGCGCGCTCTCCTGTGCCAGAATGCCATCGTTACCTTAAATGACCAGAACCGCTCAGATCTGGCCTCTGTCCTGAAGCAGAAGGATGAGCTGACCTCTCAGTGCAGAGACAGAGAGAAGGAGGTCAGGAGCCAGCTGATTGAGATGGAGACCAAGTATTCCCTCATGAACAAGGAGGTTGACGAACTGAGGCCCTTCAGGGAGCTGCAGTCAGACCAGCTTGCCCGCATCCAGGAGCTGGAGAAAGACCTCCTGGCCATGAAAATCCACCACTCTGAGCAAATGCACACCGTGAAGAGCCGGTTCCTGCAAAAGAAGGCAGAATATGAAATGGAGTCCCAGCAGAGGGTCCAAGCTTTGGCCAAAAAGGCAGAGAAAGAGGCCGTGCGCAGCCTCATCCAACACACCAAGCAGGTAAAAGCTGAGAACGGGAGACTGCGCCATGAGCTGCTGAACCTCATCAAGAGAGCCCAGGGCCTAAAGGCCATCGTGCATCAGCTCCAGGAGCAGAAAGAACAGCTTCTTCAGGAGCTCCGATACGGTGAAGACTTGGCCCAGGTCCACAGCTGGCTAACTCAACGGAGGAGACCCAGGGGTGGGACCAGCCTGCCTACCAGGACTGAGGTAGGCCATCCTCTCCAACCACCCCTGAACAAGAGGCCTGAATCTCTCACAAGTCTCCAAGGCCCAGCAAAAAAGCAGTCATCAACTCAGACCCAGAAGACCAGCATGGGAGACCCGTTGTGCCCTCTGGCGCAAAGGTTCCCATAGCACCCACGGCTTGTATGAAGAGCTTTAATGGCAGCAGCAGGAAGACTGGCGTAGCTCTGGCGTGACCCCCCCCCCAGAAGCAGCAGGAAGACTGGCGTAGCTCTGGCATGACCCCCCCCCAGCCCCCCCAGAAGCAGCCTTCGCACTGCCTCCCTAGCTGAGGGGGAGGAGGAGGAGGAGGTAGCGTTTTTTTTGCCTTAGCAAACTGGAGTAACAAGTGTGTTCTGCTTTTCACTTTTACAGCTAAGGTGGTTAAAATAAAAATAAAGTTGCCAAAGCTGCGATATATCATTAGTGACGAGGTTAATTCGTATAATTGGGCAGAGGGTAAAAAAAGTCAAGAAGGTCTAAGTGCAATACAATTTTTGTGTGTGTATTGGGAAGAATAATGTGGGAGCCTTGCAGAAATTCGGTGGTGTTGATTTGGGGAATCATAATATGGATTTGCCTTCCTTGGGCTCAGATTGAGGTAATTCTTTTTTCTTTCTTTTTTTACTGTATAGATAGTTCTCAACTTCTGATGAGCCATTTTTATGACCATTCTAAATTATTTACACCCACATCATTGTAATTAGAAATAAAACAACATTTGAAACATACAAGCAGATCACTTTATTAGTACTTAATAACATATGCTTGATTCGAAGCCCTAGGAGAAAATAAACACAAATACGTTTAAATATTTGTAATATTTAAACATACAAGTAACATTTAAAAGGCTGAATTATGACCATGGTTTTCCATCTCTGCGTCAGAAAACCTCCTTTTGCAACCGCCGGTCTGGCCGTTCAGTCAGGCGCAGGAGGCAAAGTCCGCGCTGAGCTTCCTCATGATGGCTCCGTGGCTCAGGCCCTGCTGCGCCTGCTTCACGGAGCCGTAGTTCTCCTTCACGTATTTTGCAAATGGAGCGAGTGGGGCTTTAGCTGGGGTGCCATCTTTGAGCTTGGGCTGGCAAAGCTCCAGCTGCCCCTTGCAAAGAGCGCAGACGAAGCGCTGGGTGTCCAGGGATTTGGAGTGGCGTCCAATTCTGAAAGGAAAACGCAAGAGGAGCCTTTGAAGACAGAAAGCGGCTATGGAAAGGCGAAGGGGGCACGCATCTGTAGGCAAAACCTCCAGGAAAGAGGTTTATTATTTGACTTTGGAAGTCAGTGTTGACTCCTGGAGACTTTCTGGACAGTTTTTTTGGCAAGATTTTTTTTAATTACCAAAATTTGGTTCTAAGCCTACAAAGAACCAAAACAGAACAGTGGCTCCCAGTTAGCTTCCAGTTGCATTCAAGGTGCTGGTTATCACCCATAAAGACCCGCACGGCATTAGGGCCTGGCTACGTGAAGGCCCACCTGTCTCCATTACGTTTCCCTCTGCCCAGTGAGATTAGCTAAGGTGGACCTGCTCCAGGTCCCATCAGTGAAGCAGTGTCACCTTGTGGGAACTGTGAAGCATATGTTCTCCGTGACGGCTCCGGCCCTGTGGAATGATGTGTGTCCCCCCACTCCCCAGATATCTCCATCCTGACCTCTTGTGAAGTGCTCGACAGGCCTGGCTGCCCTGAGCCCTTTCAGGGGTTTTTGGCTCACAACACAGGCCACTTCATGCTGATGCTGCCCAATAACCTTCAAGGGCAGCCCCTTTGGCACAAAATTGCTCAGAAGGAATTTTCTAAAAGACTGTCACACAAAAATCTGCTAAGGATCATTTAGGATCCACCTGGAAGCCGGCTTGAATCCCACAGTCAGGAGGGGAAAATGACTGATTCCCAGGTGATTGAGAGCAAACTATTAACATCTCCAGCATAAACAATTAATGGCCATCAAAAACTCTATACATAATTCTATCTTGAAAATACTGGTTGCAAGCAAGAACCATGGTTCAGGGTCATGTATCCTTAATACTGTCTTAATACAAGTTATAAAGTTCTACTTCAGTGTACAGGTATTCCTCAGGTTACACAGCAGTTGAGACCAACATTTCCATCTCTAAACGTGATGTCATACGACTGCCTCACTTAGAGATGGGCAATTCCAGGAGTCCCAGTTGCCAGTGTAACCCCAGGACCACACAGGTTATTAAGCGACTGGTGTGGGAAGAGACGGGGGCCCCCAAAAGAAAGCAGGCCAGTGGGCCAGAGCTACAGGTGCCCAGTGTGGGCACTATGGAGAGCTGAAGAGTATGCAGAGCATGGACAGATAGGTGCCACCAGCGGGAACCAGGCGGTGCAGGTGGGCAAAAAAGCAGCCACAAGCCACCTTGTGGAATTCTCTGCTCCTCAGCCTCAAAACTGTTGCAGACAACACTTGCGGTTCTTCTCTCTTTGAGTCTCCCTTGCCAGCCGTTTGCTGACTTCAGGTTACAAGGCAAGTCATGAAACTTTCCAAGAGCCTTCTGTGTAGTTTCTTACCCAGCTACTTTCAAGACGTTTACCATAGGACATCGTATCTCAGCTGTGCCAATAATAAAAAAAAAAAACACATGTCCAACGTGGAGCCTCTTGTAGATAAAGCCCATGATCACTTGGATCCATCCACGGAGCTGCCTCCCCTTCCAAGGGAAGGTCCTCCAGAACCAAAAGCCTGGGACACTCTAATCCCAACCTCCTTTAGCTCCTACCACACTTCTAGCCATTTCAACAGGCAGGCAAGAAAAGGATCAAAATATATCCCAGTTTCAGAAAAGCACAATGCATACATTCTCCTACATTTACTCAGATTTCAAAATGATAGAACTGAAATGGACTCCATCTAAATAAAGCAGATAAGTGGAACTATTGGGAGAATGGTTTATCAAATGGCAGGCAATGCAGCATCGGGGAATTTTTTTTTTTTTTTTTTAAAAGCAGTACTGCTAGGCGAAAGGAAATTCTCCACTCACGTGTTTTTGCACTGTAAGCATTCGTAAGTAAATTTGTATTTTATCTCATAGTTGTGGCACCGCGAGACCACTGGGAGCTCTGGGTGAATTGCAGCAGACTTGTTGGCATATAAATTCCAGAATCGCCCATGCCCGTCTCGAACACCATGGATCAACCACGTTGCTGCATGGCAGAGTTCGTGGATGAGAGTATCCCGAAGTCGATCTAACCAGGGCATGAAATAAGAGAACAATGAAACTTGTCTGTAGGCCGTGCGCTCTGCTCCGAGTCTAAGTCTAAAATGTTAAATCTGACTGCCAGGCATGAAAAACCAGGACCACACGTGAAGCCTCAACTAAACCGATCTATTATTACTCGTGCCTCAGCACAGGAACCTGCTCAGCTAATGGTTAGCAATATTTTGACGCAAAGCGATGGTCAACAGAATTCAAGAGAGGTTGGCCTTAGCTTGTAGCCACATAGCGATTCTAGGCTGATTCCTCTTTTGCCTCCGCCCCCAGGTTCCGCCACTCCTTCTCCTACAATAATGTTCCAGGTAATACTTTTAGCCAAGAACAGTTAAAAATCACAAGTGCTCCAGCCAGTCGCTCCCCACAAGGAGACCGCACAACAGGCGTCTCCGGGGGGGGGGGGGGCTGGTGCTCTGGGGGAATGCCCAAATCTCTGCTCAAATGGTGGAGGGGTCACACTTCCTTTTCTAATAAGTTTTGGAAATTGCTTATTAATTGCTTTTCAGGTATTAGGAATCTTTGCAACAAGGTTTAAGAGCACCATTAATTCTTAATGGAAGACGTTCTAAATACAAGTTTAAGGACTTTTTAAAACATCCTCCTTTTTTGGAATAAATAGCAAAAGGGTGATTATAACATTGACTTTGAAAAATTATAACTAAGGGTCCAGATGGATTTGAAATAGGATTTAGAATTTAATTATAAGGATTCTTCCTATAGGAAAATGCTGTTGTTTTAGAGTCTTTTTAAAAACATTATAGGATGAGACTTTGAAGAATGCCCATTAAAAGGAACCAGGAAAATCTAAAGATTACAATTAAAAGAGAAGAACATTTAAATTTGACTTACTAATACAGAATGGAATACTTTTAACGTGGGACATACTGAAGAATACATGTGAACAATGGATCCAGAGGTTAATTTTAGGTACTGTATGTCTGCTATTGTAGATACACTGTGTTTAAAAGATATTATGGAAGATGAACAAGATTTACTAAACAAGACTGAGACTGACCTGAAAGTGGATTTAAAAATGAAAGGCCACAAGTATGATATGGAAAAAGATGTAATGCTGGACATACAAATGAAACTGACTGATGTCTTAATAATTAAAAAAGGAGGTACAAATAAGAAACCAAGAGTGACTTGGATAACTTTCTTATATTGCATTTACAAAAGAGAATATTTTCTTTTTCTTTCTCCATTACCACTGTGTATCCTGTTTAAGTCTTTCATATCTGAACCTTTCATATCCCCCCTTCCCTCACAGAGGCTAAAGGAGAGTTTGAGGGGTCCTTAGTGCTCTCTGAGCTTGGCTGATTTCTTGCAGATGTTTCATGACAGGACAATTAACCAGTGGAATGGCTTGCCTTCAGAAACCGTGGGCGCTCCGTTACTGGAGGTTTTTAAGAAGAGACTGGACAGTCACCTGTCTTGAGATAGGTTCTCCTGCTCGAGCAGAGGGCTGGACTAGAAGACCTCCAAGGTTCTGTCCTCTTCTCTTCTCTTCTCTTCTCTTCTCCTATTCTATTCTATTCTATTCTATTCTATTCTTATTCTATTCTCTAGGTAACAACATCAGTGCAGAGTTTAGGGAATGAAGAAAACTGCAAGAAAACAACCCAGCTCAGAGATGCCAAGGATCCCTACTTTAAACCTGAGCTACAGACCTTCTCCTCTACGGAAGAGAGTCGGCCTTCGCATCCATGCAGTCTGTGACCACAGCCGTTCCACAGTCAGAGAAGCAAGAGGCCCTACCTGCAGAATCACAGACTTTTTCCGAGAGCATTATCTTGGCATAACGCTGTGTCTCTGGGTCCTTCACCTGGCCAGTTACACAGCACCCTGCTGTCTTCTGCATTTTCTTGTTCCAGATAATCTCCATCCTCTCTGGCAGCTGAGAGAAATGGCAGACAACAAGAGACTTGCAAAACTGTAACAGCCGGGCTCAGCTCTCCCAGTACACACGTTTTTTGCTCCGAAAGCCTCACGTTCTTTGATGCAGAAACCTGGGTGGGAGGCCAGCAGCAGACACCGACATGGGGCCAAGGCCGAGATGGGACTCCAAAGGCCGGGTCAAGGCGGACTTCTCCACCGCTGCTTGGCCCTGAGCTCCCCTCGAGCCACCCACTAGGAACAAGCAAGCCGTTCTGCCTGTACTGCTGCCCAATGGCCAGCTTGGATGAGGTAGGCCAACTTTCCCCACCTCTGGAGGAGACAGGGGGAGAACTTCTCCTTCTCTAGGTCTGGCTGGCCCTGGGCCGGTGGCGGAAGCCAGGCCTTCCTTCGCCGGTCTTCTGCCAAAGCCCAGAACCAGAACAAACGCTGCTTCTGCTTCAAATTCTTGGCAGAGGCCACTGGGCTTAGGAGAAGATAACCAGGGTGAAACAAAGGTTTTGGGAAGTTAAGCCAGGCAACATGGACCCCCTGCTAGAGGTAGCTGCACCTATAAACCCAGATTCCTTACCTTTCCCTCAAAGACAGAACGGTTGTAAAAAGAATACAGCCTTTGAGACAGCTCTTCTTTTTTGCTCCGGAAATGTTTTGCTAGTTGGGATTCTGGGTCTGACAACTCCTGCAGGAAGCAGCCCTGGACACGACAGGGTCCCCTGGGAAGGGAAAAGCCAAGAGAAGGCTGGAGGAGCAGCCCACCCTCCTCTCCTCACTGGGGAAGAGGCAGGACATGGCCACCCTTGCCTTAAGCATTGCTGTGAGCTTTCTAGCCCGATTTAAGTTTGATCCTGAAAAGCAGGTTTAAAATGAGAACATAAATAAAATAATGAACGTCTCCTGAAGATCTGGGCATGGTTGAGCAACTTTCAAGATCCACCCATGTTCGCCTGAGCAGAGAAGCTCTAGATTTCCTCAAACAAATGATCATTAGCCTGCTTCTAACCACAGTACACACAGAGACATGTTCTATTTCCTTCATTTCGCTCTCTCCCCCCATATTCCAAATATTATATATTGCAACAGAAATATCAGGCCAAAACTGGGATATTAAAGGCACTGCCTCTTTTGTTTGCGGGTGCTGTGGGGAAAATCAGTTTTGGGATGAATAGCAGTTTAAGGTACAAAGAACATGGCCTTGCAATGTCTGGCTCACTGTGGTCCGTTGTAAGATTTCATCAGAACAGTCCCACCACAAGGCCTGAATCTCAAGATGCAAACGTTTCTTTTAACTAAAACCAGAGTTCTCTGCAGATATCGGATGGACAGGAAGTAACCCGGGACCTATTACATTAGTGGAATACGTGTGCCTGCGTCACTTCTCCCTCCTTATCCGGAATGCATAAATACGGGCGCCTGCCTCTCTCGGCTCTGCAGGACGGGTGGCTCCCTCACTGCCCTGGAGGCTGCCAGGGCCTGGACGGGGCGCAATGGACTCTGAGCCAACCCAAGCAAGGCAGAGTGGCTTTGGGTCTTGGGCCTTTTGGTGACAAGGTTTCTCCACCACTAGTCCTGGATGGAGTGGGACTGCCCCAGACAGGCCCAGTGCGAAATCTGGGGGGGGGGGGGCTGTTCCTCTGTTTTGTTAAGTAACCCTTTACTGGTCAGAATGAAATATTAGAAGAACCAGACATCCGTATATGTCTTGGGCGCCTAGAAGATCAGAAGCCGTACTATGCTGTTTTTCCACCATGATTCTCCTGCCTCTTCAGAAATGATGCCGGCCTCCTCAGTGACGCCTTCCCAGATGAGGGGGAAGACTGAGGAGGATCTTTGGGGAATAACTGAGCGCTACCTTGGACCGTATTTGTGCGATTTAGAAAGTGGTATTGCACTGTATTTGTTGTACTTTATCTTGATCTGTTGATAATGCAACAGTTCTATTTTGGCCAGCATGAATCAATTACAATCAATTACTATTCAGCAGCATATAAGTTTGATAAACAAACAAGAGAAACAAATATATCTAGAAGGATCCAGGTCCAAACAATGCTAAATTATGGAAACAGATGTCAGACTCTTAAAAGTTTCCCACAAAGTCTCAAAGTCACTTGGCAGGTTTTCTTCACTCGCTGTGAAAAAGTTTCTCCTAATGGATGTGTGAAAACCTGGCCAGCCATTTGGACTCTCAACGTAATAGTAAAGAAGCAGTAGAGACTCACCTCATTTGCATCCGAGTAACCGACTGAGTAATATCCACGAGGGCCTTGCTCTTAGAAGCCCCGAGGGAACGCAGGGTGCCAGGAGCAGGGATTCCGGGTGTCGAGGGAAGGCTGCCCTTTCTCTTCGCAGCGGTGGCTGGGCTTTCACGAGAAGACCCCAGGCCTCTCTCCTCTGCAAGGGCACAGAGAGAGCGCTCAGCACAGAGCTCGGCAGATCAGCCTGGCCAGGCTTGGCCCACCAAACGGGAGCAGCTGCTCAGGAGAACTTGCGGCAAGGCAAAGGACCGTGTTGGCTGCCTGATTAAATAACTCCAGACAGCTCTTCCATTCCCAGACCCCGAGCAAGGAGACCCAGAGTGGAGTATGGAAGCAGCTCTGCCTACATAGCGGGACAAAGAGACTAGCTGAAACAGCCTGCACAAACCCACAGGCGTTGTAACAAAGCTGGGCCTTTATCATAATTTGCGAAGTGGCCCAAGTAGGTGAAGGGCCAGAAACACCAGGGTGGACTCGAAAAGGGCTGGATTTACTCCTCCCTCCCTGACTTGAAATTCTCTGGAAATTGTACAGAAACACCTTTACTTTGGCCTGTTATTGGAGGCACAACACCACACACTTCTTCCATACCAGAAGAGTACACCACGTGTATTTTCTGGGGGCCCTGTGCTCCCATAGGAGTCGAGAAAAAGAAACGGCTCCCACAAAATAGCACACAGCCCTGAGAGGCCTGTTGCTTCTGATCCTGAACAACAGACATCAACCACACCACCTACCAAAGCCGTCCTGTTCCCCAGCGGGTAGGAATACGTATGCATGGCCTAGCCAAGCCCCACACTAGAATAAGCCCAAGAAAGGGCCCGTCTCTTACCACGGGGGCTTTGCTGGTTCCCGGCCCTCTTGGCTTTGGGGAAGAACATCCTTTGCTTCATGCGAACAACGAGGCTGTCCATCTCCTCATCGGAGCTCTCCGGCTCCCTTGATTTCTGCCGCTGGCTCTGGGCTACGCCTTCCTGGGGGAGAGAAGAGCCTGGCCTCCCCCAGGAAGCAGCAGAGCCCCTCCGAGGAGAGGCAAGAGGCAGGCGATGGCCGGTCCCTCTGAGCTGGGAGAGACTCCCTGGGGGGCCTCCGACAAAGACGGAATCGTCCTCAGTGTCGGGGTCGCTGCACAAGAGTGGGGAGAAAATAGACCCGGCAGAGCAGGCAGCTGCCCTTCCAGCGACACCAGAGGCTTTTGCTGTGTGGAGAAGATGCGAATCTGCAATGCAATTAAACATTCTCAAAAATGTGTTTATTTGTTTATTAAACTTCCATGCCACCCATACCCCCAATTTTTTTTCTTCTAAGCCAAACTGGGCACATCCATAAGGTAAGCAGAGCAGAGCTTCCCTCCCTGGAGTTCTGCTGCATTTCCTGGTGGTGCCTCATCCACACATGATCCCTGATCAGTTTTATGACATCAGCCAAAGTTGGCTTGGCATCATGACCTAGCTGGGCATAGATGTTACATAAAATTAGTTGGCCCATGATCCTGGAGTCTCATTTATTTCAAATTCACGGCAACAGCCAACTACAAAGGAGACTCTTAGATCAAACCAAATGTCAGCCTGGGCATTTCGCTTTCTTTCAAGCTGGCTGCCAGCTACCATGGAAACGGGAGGGGGGGGGACCGTGCAGGAGGCGAAAGTGGAATTTCTGAGAAGCGATGGGGAGGCCTGGACTCAAGAGAGGCCAGCTCGGGTTGTTTGACATCTTCAAGGCCAGCCATCCTGGGAACGGCACCCACGAAAGAGAAGCGATGCACCTGGACCAGAGACATTCCCAAAACATCTTCCTGGACAATGACTGAACCCCGGTTGCCTGGCTTCTGGGGGGGGGAGCCCTCTGGGGTTAGTTTCGATTTGTCTCTTTGCGCGGATTTTGCTTCTGACCTTGCCTGACTTTGGCTGCCATCAGTTCTTTCCTCTGAATCTGTGGAGGGCTTTCCTGCCCTGGGCATCGATCGGAGGCAGCCCTGACACCAACCACCAGGAGGTAAGCAATACCCCAATCAACGAACTGCCAAACAAGCTAACGGTAAACAGTCCAACCAAAGACTCGCCAAGACTACCCACACCCACACCGAGAGGACAATCCATTCTAATATAAACTGAGGGCAAACCCCACTCCCTTCTAGCCCCACTGACGATGTTGCCTAGATTGGGCAATGAAACGTCAGCAAGAAAACAGCCGGGCTTAGGTAGCACCAGGGCCCCCTCAAAGGAGACTCTGCCGGCACCTTTTCCTCAGAAACAATGCGGACCCCTCGACTAGGTAATATTATTGGGGGGGGGGACAGCGAGAGGGTGTTTGGCATAATTCCCAGGGAATTTAACTGAAAGACTGTGGCCCTTTAGCCTGGCTGCAAAAGTGCCATCCTCCAGCAGCCATAATGAGGACGAAGGCATTTCAAAATTATAAACTTCTTCAGTCGGGGCTGCCTTGTGCCAAATTGAGCCGCTGAATCAGCACTGTCCCCCCTTAAGAATTCGGGAAAGAAAAAAGCAGATAAACTTTGCCAAGCCCTGTTCCCAAAGGTGTGTGGGGGTTTTTTGGACTCACTTACCTTTTGTTGCAGATCCATACTTGTCCTCAGGAGAGCTAAAACATTTCTCCCTTGATCTTTTCAGATAGAGAGATGAGAAAAAAATAGAATTAAGAATTAAACTCTGAAAGCAAATAAGGACTTTTAAAAGTCCAACTGCCCGCTCCCCCTTCCATCCTAGGAAGCTACCGGGTCCTGCAGCNTTTTTTGGACTCACTTACCTTTTGTTGCAGATCCATACTTGTCCTCAGGAGAGCTAAAACATTTCTCCCTTGATCTTTTCAGATAGAGAGATGAGAAAAAAATAGAATTAAGAATTAAACTCTGAAAGCAAATAAGGACTTTTAAAAGTCCAACTGCCCGCTCCCCCTTCCATCCTAGGAAGCTACCGGGTCCTGCAGCCCAGTACTTGTGAAAAGCTAAACCCAGGCACACCCACCCGCCCTGCCTGGGCCCGAAAGAGGTCCCAAGGCCCCTTCCCTTCTTCCGCTCTTTCTCCTGGGCCCCTCGTCGCCTCTTGGGGCTTGCGGGAAGCCAAATGTCAGGCGCGAAAGGCCAGGTCCACCTGTAACTGATTTATTGCTAAAAGCTCAGGAATCTTCTCAACTAATGGCCAGCACTTGGTTACAGTTAGATAAGTGTGGTGGTGGGGGGGGAGTTTGGACTTCACTGTGGCTACCAAGAGATGCTAGGATAACCCTAAAGGTACTTATTTTCATGAGGCAACTGGACTTTCTTGTTTTTCTTTGAAGATGTTTCAGTTCTCATCCAAGAAGCTTCTTCAGCTCTGACTGGACGGTGGGGAATGGAAGGATTTATATTCCTTGCAGACAGCTGGTCATTTGCCTTCTTTGAGAGAGTCACTGAGGCCATTTGGAGGTTTGTTTGTGTCCTGAAAGTCACCTGAGTGGTGCAAATGGGTGTGGATCCTTCTTGGAACTGCTGAAAGGATTTGTGTTGTAGACTGGACGTAGGTGGTGCCCTATCCCTCCCCCCCTGTTGAGGGAGGGCTGTTTTGACCTAGATGGCCTCTTTGACCCCTCTTTCAAACCACAAAAATCCCTCTTTTCACCTCTCCTCCTGACTCAGCTAGTCCTTCTCCTACCAGTGGTGGCGAACCTATGGCACGGGTGCCAGAGGCGGCACTCAGAGCCCTCTCTGTGGGCACATGCGCCATCGCCCCAGTCCTAGGCCTTCAGCTGGGTTTTATAAAACCTTTTCGCTTTAGGCCTCCGCCACCGTGTGCAAAAAAACAAAAGTTCAATCAGTCAATTTCAACTTTACGCGGGAAAAAAAAAGATCTTGCAAAGTTGGAATTGATTGAACTTTTTAGTCCCACCCAGTCTGCCGTTACCACTGCAGCCACGCCCACCCAATTAGCCACGCCCACCAGGCACTCGACAATGCATAAGTGGATTTGGGATTGCAGTTTGGGCACTCAGTCTCTAAAAGGTTCGCCCTCACTGTCCTACACCAACCTCCCTTCTTTCACAGGGCCCAAAACTGGGTGTCCTTCCCTCCCTTAATTTAAGAGATTAAAATCCTATCTGCTTGACTTTTCTTTACCATTGTTAAAAGCATTTAGCTCATATTGAGATTACATTTAGAAGAGCAGGCAAGCAAATCTCACTTTAATCTTTGTAATAAAGTTTTAAATATTAAATGTGGAATAAACAGTCCATTTGGCCATAACTGTTGTCCTGAGGCTCATTGTGCATTTTGGGGCGATCTCTTCCATGCAACCCCTGAGAAAATCCTTTTTTTTTTTTTTTTTTTACTTCGCCTGGAAAATCAGCTGAACCGACGGAGGGCCTGCAGTATTATAAAGGGCCTTGCAAGGGTGGCGAACATCTGCAGCGCGAGTGTAGGGTGAGGGTGAAGGTTCGTCCTCCGAGCTTGTGGGTTGGTTTCCGAACATTGAAGATGCTACCTAGCGGAAACCAACCCTCAAGCTCGGAGGACGAACCTCCACCCTCATAAAGGGCCTTGTTGGGGGGGTGGTAATAAATACACTGCACTTTTCCCAACATTTCTTAGTCTTATGGCCATGTATTTACTGTCACTCCCACAGTTGTGGTTCTACTTGCATTTGTCTTTTAACAGTTGTTGTTTTTAACTGTTTGTTTTTGTTGTAAGCCACCGAGATGGGTGGCTATATACATTGCTCAAAAAAAAAAACAAATTACAGAATTATTAAGGTAACTGCAAAAAGTATGCAGAAATTAAAATGGCTCCTTTAAAATTTTGTTTACTAAAATCACACACCTTTGTTCAATCAGATCTTAAAATGTTTAAAACTGAGTATGTTTCAGAAAATCCAAATCAATGTAAAGTATAAAACTTCAGACGCACCTGCTGTTTCTTTTCCTTGGGGTGCAACAGGAAGCAGATCTGGGCGTCCTCATTCTAGACAAAACTAAGACAAGCCACAGAAGGAAACAAAAGTTAGTCCCCTTAAACGATTAAAGTCTCCAAAGGACAACCTGAAGTCAAATTAATTAAGAATTCACTCCCCTTTCAGGCTCCCTCGGGCCTAACGGGGAGGCCACCGGGTTTCCCCTTGGAAAGGTTGTGCTGGGCCAGCCATTTCCAGTTTGCAGGCAGCGGGGGTAGACGAGCGGAAGCCACCTGGGCGGAGGGGAGGGGGTCCCTTCAGACACGTAAGTCAAGGACCAGGACACAGGCAGTCCCCAACTTACAACAGTTCATTTAGTGACTGTTCGAAGTTACAAGGGCACTGAAAAAAGCGACTTATGACCGGTTTTCCCACTTACGGGGGTCGCAGCATCCCCGTGGTCATGTGATCAAAATGGAGATGCTTGGCAACTAACTCATGTTTACGACGGTCGCAGCATCCCCAGGGTCACGGGATTCCCCCTTTGTGACCTTCTGACACAAGCAAAGCCAATGGGGAAGCCAGTTTCATTTATCAACCATGTCACTAACTTAACAACCGCAGTGATTCACTTAACAAGTGTGACAAGAAAGATCGTTGAATGGGGCAAAACTCACTTAACAAATGTCTCACTTAGCAACAGCAATTTTGGGCTCAATTGTGGTCGTACGTCGAAGACTACTTGTATGTTAAGAAAGCTTAAGAGATCACACAGCGGCTGCACAATGGACCCACGTTATACGGGCAGAGGTATGCAATGCAAAGGGAAGGGCAGCTGGAGGGCGCCAGGCTGCTGGCGAGGTCGAAGGAGGGCCGCCGCCACCACCACAGCTGGAGGGCAGAGCCAGGCACACGGAGACCGAGGGTGCCCCTGGGAGCCCAAGGGCCAACTTTACGACCGGGGAGCAGTGCCTCTGAAGGCCACAAGCAATTCTAGGATGGCCATCAACACACCTCCCCTCCCCTCCCCTCTTGGGCGATGCCACACCCGGGGCTCAGCTGTCAACCAGAGGGGAAACGGGACCAGCTGAGCTGAGCCTACTTGGCTGTGAGGCTACCTGAAGACCCTTGCAAGCCTCCAAGGACAAACTCCTGCCTGCCACTTTGGCTTGCCAGATCTTTAGGCGGGTCCTTCCTCAATTTATTTGGCCACTGACTGACTGGGGGCTTCCGCCTCTCTTATCTGACCATTTCCTAGGCAGCCTCTCCTCTTCCTTTCCTCAAGGTGACGCCGGCTGGACGTAGCTCTGAAAGGACCACCCCTTCCAGGCCCAGCCAGATCTCTTCCTGCCCCCTCCGCCATCTTGAAATATATGGTCACCCATCTGACACAAGAGACTCTGGGTGGCTCCCAAGTTTAAAACAGAGAAACCCACCAAATATAAGCTGGAATTGTCTGTGGTGCCTAAGGTCCATTCCCTTCTCTGGGTTGCAGGCAGGGATCTGGCCGTGGGAACTGGCGCTGGCAGCTGTATTGTGGGGCCACCAGCCGTGTGCGGATCAGCTGCTTCCCAAAGAAAGTGTTCCGTGCCGTGGGGAGGCCAGTGCCAAAGAAACACGTCCCTCTTGGCCCGTGGAAGGGACTTTGCTGCCGGGCAAGGAGGGCTGATGCTGCTGGAATGCAGACGAGGGCTGCCTTTTCCACTGTGTACATGTGGAGGTGAGGGACTTTGCTGTGGCCGAGGCAGGGCTGGACTAGGCTGTCTGTGGTTTGTGGGGCCCTGTGGCTGCCACTCCCTCTGCCCCCCATCCCCAGTGAGATCTGGAATGCTCTGGGAACAACCATCTGCATGAACTTTTAATCCACATTTATCACCATCCAGGAGGATTTAACTGGATGGATTTAATTGCAACGGGACTAGTCATCATAAGAGAAAGTTTAGCGGTGGGTGTGACTCTACTCAACTTTCCCGCCAGTGAAAGCCAGGGGGGGTTGTTTATTTTTGAGTCTTTGGGTTGTATAATTTTGGCCACAACCGTCTGGTGAAAGAGGAATGACTGTCGGCATGGTGCAGTCGGTGGATGGGTGAGGTGTGGTGATCCCTGACTAACCAGAGGCGCCGAGCGCCTCCTAATGCTGCAAAAGCAGCTCGAGTACTAGGGAACCCTCACTGGAAGACTGAGGTTGTGTGTGTGAGGCAAGGGACACAGGCCCAGATCTGCATGGAGACGGGAGGGCAGGTTGTAACCTTCCGGTAACAACAGATAGGAGGGGATAGGGCAAAATTCACTTAACAAATTTTTTACTTAGCAACAGAAATTTTGGCCTCAATTGTGGTCGTAAGTCGAGGACTGCCGGTAATAGAAAGAAAGCAGATGGGCAAACAGAAGTGAAAGTCATGTTCCAAAAAAAGTACTTTTTGTACTTCTGCAGGTTAACTTTTGCATACTTACATCTTTCAAATTCATCATCGCTGCCTGAAGATGATGAGCTGTAAAACAAACTGTATGATTGATATATATATACATACATACATACACATACATACACACACACACACACAGAGGGCAATTCGGAAATAAACCTCCGTTTGGTTATCAATGACAGAGTCGCAGATACAGAACTATTATTATACACATTAGAAAACTACAACATTACATTACTTTTCGACATCATTGCCATTCAAATTGAGGCACTTGTCAC